CATCAGCATTTAGGGCCCGAGGGGTGAAGTTGGGAATCGAGCTCGAGAATCGGAAGGAGATCGTATGGAGGGGTTGTGGATAGTGTTGGCTCTCAATTTAGTTATGTGGTTTTATTCGTATAATATGCTTGTAAAAACTTTTGATACGGTCTTAGGTATTTTCTACCGTTCGCTTCCTCCGATCGATGGGAATTATTAAACAACGACGTGTGTAATAGTAATTAGGATTACCCTATTTTGGATAATTAATCGGTAATCCGTAGCCTTTTGTAAGCGAAAGCAAATTTTCACTATTTATATGCATGCATGCTTTCGACTAGTAATTTCTTCGTGTTTTGTATCCATGTTCAAAAATTATTTTCATATAGGTGCTCTGCTTATAAAATCATGAAATTTTAGGAGTCTCTGCATCTCTATGTTCTCATCATACTGATAGGTCTTGTGAATGATTTGGGTAAGTATTTATTTAGTTATGATTTATTTCTCACTACTGCATTGAAATAGGGTCATTCGGGTGTTTTCTGGTATAACTGGAGTTTTACTCACTCAAATGCCTTGTTTCTACTTGGAAAATGTTTTAAACTTATTTTTCTGCCTTGGGCTAAAATTTGGTAGTTTTTGGGTCAGTGAGGAATTTATTGTGAATTTTTCAAAACTCCCTCCCCTGTTTTGGATTTTAAACCGAGTGACTGTGCCATTTTATTTATTTCTCCTAAATGGCCATGCATATTTCAAAACTGTTTTAACTGAGTGATCTAGACTCGTGTTAGATGGTATGCTATTATTTTGGGGTCATTTGCATGAGTAGTTTAAGAGGAATTAATTTTTAAAGCTTCTGCATTGAATCTGTCCGCATTTGCATTAAGTCCATCAGGCCTAGTTAATTTCTAGTCTTGCATTTAGCATGCATTGGTGTTAATTGATCGATTAGGGTTTAGCAAGTTGTGCCCTCTCTCCACAAAAAATCATGTTTTCAAAAGTCTTCCGCTGAGATTACATAATAAGGGTAATCGAGAGAGGGGTGTCACAGAATCCATAAGAGGTCTAGTGTCCTTGAACTATCCCGAGAACGAGATCCGAACGATCCTCCATACGGCTTCCTAGCCTTTGTCCAAATTCTTCTTTCTTGGATCAAATAATAAGCCCAATTTATTTGGTCTTTATTTTCGAAAATTAGCCCTTTATAAAATGATAATTTATTTTTGAAAATAAGTCCTTTTTACTTGAAAATTATTTCAAAAGGGTCAGCTGAGATTTGAAAGAAAATATCCGTGAGATTTTGGAAGCAAAAGGTTTTTCGATATTCAAGATCTTCTATCTTTGGAAAATAGTTTAATATTCAAAATTATTTGAATTGTTTGAAAATCGTTTTTTCATTGATTTAAACTGATTGAGAATCATATTTTTGGACTTGGAAGATTTTAAATCAATCCTCAATCAAAGATTCAAAAATATATAAGCTGTCCGGAAGTTAGCCCGGAAGTTGCTGAAGCTGGCTGGAAGATGTTTTGCTGAAAATCGTTTTTGAAGGAAGAACACTCCTTTTGAGTTTCAAAATTCAAATGCTTACCATATTCAAGTGATTTAATTGATCTCAATCAGCTGGAGATCAATCACACTCATCATCTAATCAATCAAGAGATTAAAGATTGATTATTTCCTTTCTAGAGATGAAGAGCTTCACCTATAAATAGTTGACCATTCATTCAAGCTTATTCATTCCAAGCCAATTTCGAAAAGAGCTTATAGAGAGTCATTTATTTATTAGGAAATTCGAAATTCTCCTCTTGCTTATCACTTGTTTCATTATATATATTGACAGGGATTTTGTAAAGCTCTTAGAGAGCATTTCTTTGTTGTGAGGTTTTTGTTGAGTGCGAAAGAGTTAGTCTCTTGTAAGCACGTATTGATAAAGTGTGAAAGAGTGAGTCTCTTGTAAGCACGTCGTTGGTGCGAAAGTCGTTAGAGTCTTGTAAGCACATCTTTTTCGTGTGGAGGATCCAAGGATCTTGGAGGCACGTGGAATAAAAGTTCGAGGGCCTAGAAGAGTGGAGTAGGGGAATTTCTCCGAACCACTATAAATTCGGTGTCATTTACTTTACGCACTTTATTTTATCGTATTCAAATCTCCGTACTCATATATTCTTTATTGCTAAAACTTTATTGGGAATTAATTTGGAAGTTTGCAAAATATTTATTATCAAAGAAAAATATATTTTTCTAGAAATAATTTAGTTCTGCAAAAATAGTAAAAGTTTTGAAAAACCTAATTCACCTCCCTCTTAGGCATATTTATTCTCTCAATTGGCATCAGAGCCTCGTGCTCTTAATTTTTTGTTGTTGGGCTTAACAACCCAAGAGCTAACGATCCTATGGCTTCTTTCAGTAATATTTTTGCAGAGGGACAATCTCATACTAGGCCACCACTTTTTGATGGAACTTCATATTCTACTTGGAAGAACCGCATGCAAGAATTCCTAATTTCAATCCATTGCGACCTATGGACAATTATTCTAGAAGGACCATTCATTCCTATGAAGGACATCAAAGGCGAAAAAGTGACCAAGGAATGGAAGGAACTCACATCCGCGGACAAATATTTAGTGTCCATGAACTCAAAGGCTAAGAATATTCTTTCTTGTGCTCTTACTATTAATGAATATAATCGTGTTTGTTCATGTTCTACAGCTAAAGATATGTGGGAGATGTTGCAAGTCACCCATGAAGGAACATCCCAAGTAAAGGAACAAAGGATCAATATTCTAGTACATCAATATGAGATGTTCAACATGGAGCAAGAAGAATCCATAAGTCAAATGTATGGTCGTTTCATGGAGATCATAAACCCGTTGACGGCACTTGGCAAGATCTACTCTCAAAGTGAACAAGTCAAAAAGATCTTGAGATCCTTGCCTCGAGAATGGACTCCAAAGGTGACCGCAATCCAAGAAGCAAAGGACTTGAACAATATGAGCATTGCAGAACTTATCGGTTCCCTCACATCCCATGAGCTCACCATCCTTGCAAAAGATGAGGTAAAATTAAATAAAGAAAAATCCGTTGCTTTTAAATCTAACACTATGCAGGACGACGATAATGATTTGGAAGACTTAGATGAGGACGAGAAGAATGAGGAAATCGCGAGGATCACAAGAAGGATAAATCAACTACTAAATTATAATCGGAACTCCTCCCAAAATTCTCCCCGGAACCTTCGAAAATCCTCAAAATTTGAGAGTGAGATAAAGTGTTATCAATGCCAAAATTCCGGTCATATAAAGCCCAACTGCCCGTTACTCAACAAATGTGAACGGTTCCAACGGATGTCAAAACACAAAGGATTAAGCACAACTTGGGATGATCAAGAATTCGAAGGGGATATGACCGATGAGGAAATCGCAAATGTTTGTCTCATGACAAACGAAGAGGTATGTAGTTCTTACTTTAATAAGATAAATGATTTTGATGAATGTCATGATGACCTTGAATGTGATGATTTTAATTGTGAAGACGATTGGCATGAAATGATAAATGAGTGTAAAAGAGATTTGGAAAAATTAGCTTCTAAGAATGATATCTTGAAAAGAAAAATTATTGTTGTCAATAATGAAAAAGAAAAAATAGAAGCTAAATTAGATTCGTATATTGAAAAGCTAGCTATTTGCGAAAAAGAAAAATCTTCTTTATCCATAAAGAATTTTGTGCTAGAAAACGAGGTTATTGATTTGAATAAATGGCTTGAAAAATTCACTAAGGGCAAAGAAAATCTCGATAAATTACTTGGCTTGCAAAATGTGTCATTAGATAAAGTGGGAATTGGTTTTCACTCGCATTATAAGGAATTGAGCAAGTTATCGAATGCATCATCTTTATCATATAATACTTGCAATTATTGTGCTAAAATTGGCCATAAATCATTTTCTTGTCCATATAAAAAGGGAACTACTAGTAAATTTATTTGGGTACCAAAATGCAAAAATTAATTTGAATTATATTGGTAGAAAACGGTAAGTGCTTTAATTGCTAATAATATTATTTGAAATTTTTCGATGTATTGCATGTTGTAAATTAGTGATATGTAAATCTTCCATGGTTTATGAGTAAAAATGATATGATAATATTTTGTGATAATAATATACTTATGACTCTAATCCTTTAAGTGCCAAGAATTCCTTGAGCAAATAAAATTTTCAGGCATATAGGATAATTTGGATGCTCTTAAAATTCGAAAGTTGAAACTCAAAAGTCACTGGAAGTTCAACTGGAAGTTCAGCTGGAATTAGAAAGCGAAGTGACAAAAACTGCTGGAAATTCATCTGGAATTTTGGATAACAACGTTAAGCTAATATCCTTGTTGGTAATTATGCTTCCGCTAAAGAAAAATCTGCTGCAACTCTGAGAAACGATCTGGAACATGTACTGGAAGTTCGTCTGGAATTTGAAAGTCTGAAATTAAAAGCAAGGGACCAAAAGAATGATGATCAATTTGAGCATTTCAAAGAAGATTATAGAAAATCCTCCCTTGATTGATGACAAAGGGGGAGAAAGAATTAATGATGCTTTATTCATCTTTATTAATCTCATTGCAAAAGTAAGGGGGAGCTTATGTTACAAATCGACCGACGTTGAGGGGGAGCTTGCGCTCAAGGTTTGACATACCTCATATATTGAGGGGGAGCTTACACTTAAGGTTTGGTATAACTAATTTTATGCTATGCACTTCAATTTGATTTTATTTTATAAAGCATCAATTGTTTGTCATCATCAAGGGGGAGATTGTTAGCCGAAAGGTTACTTTCGAATGTGATGATTTACAAACAATTGATTTGATCTAATAGTCTTTCTTTGAGTCGTGTTTTTATTAGACAAATTAATCAAGGCGAAATTAATCAAGACCGGAGTGACAGAATCTGTAACACCCCGCATTTTCGGTAAAATAATTTTTACCACCTTTATGTGCATATTTGTGAAATTAGAATTTATAATAATTCTTGCATGATTAGTATTTACGTGAATTAGGTAATTATGTGAAATATATAAATTATGTGAATTATGTGATTATGTGAAATTATGTGATTATGTAAATTATGTGCTTAGGAAATATTTCGAAATATTATTTCGAAATAAATTATTTTCATGAATTAGGATTGAAGAGAGAAGATGTAAATGAAGAATAGGATTGAAATTACTAGTTTTGACTTTGTGTATTATTTTTGATATGTTACTACAATTTTAACGAAAATTAAATATAGTGTTGGTTGAATTTGTTTATGTTCAATTTATATTAATATATATATATTTTAAATACATCAATACCATATATATGGTATTGGTGTATTTAAAAAATATTTTTTTTATTCGTTTGACAGAGTTTTGTAACGGATTTAGTAAAGGATACATCTCTTTCTAATAAGAATATTTGTTTCAACTAGCGACGGATTAATGGATTTAGCGACGCAATATATTGCGTTTGTGGATCGGATTTAGCGACGTCATTATCTGTCATTATTGACGGATTATTCCGTTTCTAAATGTAGCAACGGATATTATATAGTCGTAGCAAATTTTAGCGAAGCGCCTTTTAGCGATTTATTTAGCAACGGACCATTTTCGTTGCTAAATACTCAATAGCGACAGATTTTGGCCAATTCGCGACAGATTGTTCCGTTGCTAAATGGCAATTTTCTAGTAGTGATACTTGTTAAATTAACGCATGCCAAATCATTAAATCCGATATTTGTTGAAGATATGAGGAGTAGTAAACCTTAATAGTCAATATTCTACAATATTAATCATAATTATTTTCGTTATAGATATAACCATATATTTTGTAACAATAATACGAATTTCAATACTTAAATTTTTTAGTTGTTTATTAGGTCTTGTTGATGTATATTAATATATATGTATATTATTATTATAAATGATGTTTTCCGAGAATATTAACAGCGTGTCGTATACGACAATTCATATTGGAGATATAAAAAATAATTGATAAAACACAGTTGGAACAATCTATATATAAAATTAAGTAACAATGCGTAGTTAAATTTGAATTTTGAGATTGTATTGTTAAAAACGACAAGAGATGATCTGATTATAAAATTTAAACGTAAAAAAAATATAAACAGATGTATCAAGAAATTAATAAAATATATATTGTTACACGCAAATCAAAATCTATATCTAGGATACTCCATAAAGACATAAAGACGTAGAAAATAAAAACATTAGAATAACTACCAAACATAAATGCAAACTGTAATAATATATTCTATGTTCTTAACTTTTATTATATTTCTTATGGCGTCGAACGATAACGAATATTTGTTGCCAATAATAAGATCGTTCAATGTACAAAACGAATTCCAACCAATTGTGAGGTATATCCTGCGTGAATTATTTTTTGTTCCACACAAACTAATTTTATTCAACGAACCCCCTTCGTATTCAACATCGAGCCATTGTCCATCCCTTCAGCATCATCAATATTGAGATTCTCTTAAATTGCAAATGGTTTGTACATACACATATTAAATAACCAATCACATGAATCAGACCTCCACGTGGATCCATTGGTCCAACACTGATTTGCAGGAATACATCGTTCATGTATAAAAGCCTCATCGCATAAACCACAACAAAAGAAAGATTTGAAATCTTCCATTTCAGTCACCCCACATACAATAATACGCGTTGCAAAGAACACATAGTTTGGATTGAGCGCAAACAACTTTTTTGATCGCCATAAAATAAGAACGACTTTGTATAATAAACTGCATAAAAAAATTAAAAAAAATGTATTAAAATTAACAACTCAAAAGAAAGAACAACAAATAATACTCATATGTATATATAAAAATAATTATGAATATAAAACCATGCATATATAATTATAAAAATCTATAAGAAAGGATAAAAACAAATGTAATATGAAACTGTATAATACGAATATTGTGCACTTTGTACTGGAGTGGTGGTAGATAAAAATGAAATCAATCTGCAGGGGTTTAAATAGTATTGAGCATGAACTTTATTTTATGGAAAAAATGGAAATCCAAAAGATTTATATATTAGTAAATGAAATCAAATCAAACAAATAAAGGAGACAACCCAAAAAAATAAGACAATAACTTCTACAAAAAAATCTTGCAATATAAAAAAAATTAAATATAAAGATGATTAATTTTGCAATTCAGTTAAATACGGTATTGAAAATCTTTCAATTCAGTTAATAGAAATTAATTATATATACCGTATTTAAAAATCAATAAATTCAGTTAATTTTTTTACATAAATAATACTTTCAAAAATAACCGGATAAATAAATAACACTATAATATAAATTAATCTAAAATCATTCAAGAACGCCTCATTCACCACTATAGTGTCTTTGCCCATAGAAAATAAATAATAATAATATCCATTTGTATTAATGCATGATTTTTTAAGTTTAAGGAATCCCTATAATTATATTATAGTTGAAGATGCTTTTAGGAATTTCGTCCTTTTCAGAATCAAAATAAAAAAACAATACAATTTATTCCTAAAGTTTATAAAATTTGTAGACATGTACTCGATGTTATTGTCAAGTATTTAATAGAAATAAATATCACCTCTTCAAAAATAGGAAAACATAGAAGGAATTAAAATATGAATATAGTTTCAAAAATACGTAAGGTTCTATTAGGTTCTATTGTTTAAATTATGACATCTACTCGATGTTAGTTAATATATATTAGAAAAAAAAAAGAATATCTCATCTAAAAAATATATAAATAATTAAATAAATATATTGTTAAGTTATTTATAGACATGTAAAGCACATTATTTCATATGTTTCCATAAGTTAATGGATTCGGATTTTAGTCATATAATATACAAATTATATAAAACAAAAAGTATAAACAAATTTTAAGAAATTTATTGTTCATTATTAAAGATATCGAATTTTTTTAATTTTCACACGGCATATTGAACCGGTTTATAAAAAATAATAAATGTGATAATTAAATAGAGCAACTCCAATGGCCTGGGAGATATCAAAATGGACGATCAAACACTTAATTGATACTTATTATAATACTTTAATACTTCAAACAAATTCACGCGCTCCAACCCATATGTATCAAATAAATTACTATCCCTTTTAGTTGTAATATGTTGAGATGTTTTTTTTTCACGTTGAAACTTCATGAGCTATTTTTAATGAAAAATTGATACCCTTTTTTTTTTTTTTTTTTGCTCGCAGTTTTGCACCTCAATAAGATGGGAGTATAAAAAAACCACTCCTTTGCGTTTTGGAAAATGGTAATTTTACCATTTGATACTCCATAATTAATTCCCCATTGAGTTGCTAATATCCCAACAAATTAGGCGTAGACAATCACAAAAAAACTGCAACACCACAAAGTTAGATGCAAAGACCGACAAATAAGAGCCATGGTATATTTTCTTCTCAAGTTATATAAAATATGCGCAAAATAAATAATTCAAAAATTATGCATAAAATACATATCATCGATATT